CTTCTCTTCCTAGAACTACAATAATGTGTACAATATTTCTTTTAATAGTATGCCGTAGTTCACATAGGTTTTCTTCATTCTTTTTTGTTCCTTTTTCTTTTCATCCTCTGACTGGGTGATTTAAAATAATTTGTCTTTAGTTCATTAATTCTTTTTTCTGATGAGTCTGTTGCTGAAGCTTCCTAGTGAATTCTTCAGGACAACCACTGTCTTCTTCAACTCTAAGATTTCTGTTTTTCTTGTTTAATGGTTTCTGTTTCTTTGTTGAACTCCTCATTTTGCTCATGTATTTTTTCCTAATTTTATTTAGTTGTTTATTTGTGTTTTCTTGTAGTTCACCGAATAGCTTTAAGATGATTATTCTGAATTTTTGTCAAAAAGTTTATAGACCTCATTTCTTCAGTCTTTGGAATTTCATTACTTTCCTTTACGGTGTCATGTTTTCTTGATATTTATAATTCTTGTGGCCTTGCATTGGTGCCTATGCATTGGAAGAAGCAGGCAGTTTTTACAGAATGGCTTGAGCAGGCAAAGTCCTTCACCAGTCAGCTCATCCAGATATTCTGAGTGAGCCATCTGGACATGTCTGTGAACAGGTTTGCTGTTGGAATATTTGTCCAGGCAGAGGGCTGACTGTGAGCTTGGGGCTACAGGAGCTGCCCAGGTCTGTGGGAGCTAGCTAATGCAGGGATGTATTGGGAGCCTGGGTTCACAGAAGCCTGTTGGGAGCCTGGTACCAAGGGAGCCACCTGGCTTAAAGGTGGGCCAGGAGCCTGAGTTTGTTGGTATATTGTGTCACAAGGGCCACCTGGGCCCATGGAAGCCAGCTGGCACTAGGGTGGGCCAATGATCCTGGGTTGTGAGAGCCTTCAAGAGTCTAGGACCAAGGGAGCCTCCTGGGGCTATGGAAGCTGGCAGGCCCGAGGGTAGGCCAAGGACCTGGGTTTGTGGGAACCTGCTGGGAGCCTGGTGCCACAGAAGACATGTGTGACTGTGGAAGACAGCCCAGTGCTGGGTTGGGCCAGTCCTGGGGTCCATGGAACAGTTGGATCTCACTTCACTTTCCTTCTCCCATGGGAAAAGTATCTATCCCTTTGCTGGACTGCCTGGGCTTGGTGGAAAGGTCAGGTGGGTAATGTGACTTTATCTTTCCTACTGTTTTCAATGCACTTTCTCTCATTTCTGTGCTTCACCGAGGTGCTGTGATCCCTCACCTGGAAGTCTTAGCTCTTGTGAAATTATTTTCATGCATTTGCTCAATCGACAGTTGCTCAAATTGATGTTTCTGTGAGAGGACAGGAACTAGAAAATCTTAAATTACCAGTTTACTGATGTCACTCTTAGAGTATGTTGTTTACCATCCAATATTTGTGAGAGTCTCTAAGTTTTTTTCTGTTTCTGATTTCCAATTTCATTCTACTATGGTTGGAGAAAATAACCATGTATTATTTTTATCTTTTTAGTTTATCATGCTTTTTTAATGGCTGACCTATGATGTGTCCTGGAGAATGTTCTATGTGCATTTGAGAAGAATGTATATTCTGCTGATGTTGGGTGAAGGGCTTTATAAATGCCTGTTATGTATAGTTGGCTTATAGTATTGTTCAAACATTTGATTTCCTTGTTGATATTCTGCTTAAATTTATATCCATTTTGGTTCCTTTATTTTCCATTTTTTATCTTCTTTTCAATAAGTGTATATTTTTTATTTTGTATTTTAAGTTCTTTAATAATTCTTTTCACTATTTTAATAGTTTTCCCTTAACAGTTGTTTTTGGGATTCCTGTGTGCATCTTTTCTTATTGGAATCACCTACAGATTTGTACTAACTTAATTCCAATGGTAATTTTGTTATACACATTACATGTATAAATGTTACCGACCCAAAAATACTTTATTATTATTATTATTTTATTTTTATGTTTTTTAGAAGAGCTTTAAAAAAGAAAGAAGAACAAGTATATATGTATAGCTTTTGTTTTATTAAACTTACTATTTTTTACTTATGTTTCTCTTCACTTTTTTCTGAGTGTTAATATCACCTGGATTCTTTTTCTTGGCCCAATACAGCTTTGCTCCTCTCCTTTGCTTTGGTGCTATTGTTGACAAATGTATTACATTTCCATATGTTATAGGCCTAATAATATATATATGTTGTTTCATAGAATTCATTTTCGAATCACTTACAAGAGCTTTTAAGATAAGCAGATAGGTCTGTTTTGTGGGAAGACTGAGCATGTTTCAGTCGGCTGCTCTGTACTGGGCCCTGGAGAGTTAGCCGCGGCAGGTCCTCATGAATGCGGATGAAGAACTGCTTCTTAGTTTGCTGTACCCTTGTGGGTCTTGAGAATGCCAATCCCGTTGCTTTGAAATCTAGATGTTTTCGAGGCATCTCTATCAGGTAGAGATCTTAAATATTGGGGCACCAGATGTGGGGTTCAAACCCTTTGCTCCTCAGGGAGAAGCTGAGACTTGTGAGTTCCTTCCCAACTGTGGCTTGCTGTGTCAGGGGTCGGGTTTCTGGCAAGAGTGTGTCTCACTTCTCCTACCCATTTCAATGTGGATCTTTTTCTTGTTCACCTGATGTACAGGAGTCACTCAGCTGGTTTCTGGATTTCTTTCAGAGGGAATTGATCCATATGTAGCTACAGATTTGACAGGTCCATAAGTTCAGGAGCCTCCTATGTCACCATCTTGAACTGGAGCTGACAACTTCATTCTTTTGTGTGCGGAGATCTAGTTTTCCAGTATCATTTGTTGACCTTTCCCATTGAATGGTCATGGCCCTGTGTCAAAAATATTTTGAGAGGGGCTCTCTATTCTATTCCATTGGTCTGCATGTCTGTTTTTATGACAGTTTCATACTGTAATAATTGCTGTAGTTTTGTAGTAAGTTTTCAAATCAAGAAGTGTGAGTCTTCCAGCTTTATTTTTCTTTATCCAGATTGTTTTTGCTACTTGAGACTTTCGAGATTTTATATGAGTTAGGACGGATTTTTCCATTACTGCAAAAGACATCATTGGTATTTTGATAGGGATTGCATTGAATCTGTAGATCAGTTTGGGTAGTATTGACATATCAACAATATTGAGTCTTCTAATTCATGAACATGGGATAGATCTGCATTTATTTATGTCTTCTCTAATTTCCTTCAGCATTGTTTTGCAGTCTTAATTTTACAAATCTTTCACTTGTTTGGTTAAATTAAATCTCAAGTAGTTCATTCTTTTTGATACTATTATATATAGAATGATTTTTGACTATTAGAAAAATATTTTCTAAATATTTCCTTTTTAGAGTGTTCATTTATGGTGTATAGAAATGCAACTGATTTTTATGTGTTGACTTTTTATCATTCTACTTTACTTTGGTAAATTCATTTACTAACTCTAACTTTTTTGTAGAATCTTCAGCGTTTTCAATATATAAGGTCATGTCGTCTGTGAAGAGATTATTTTACTTCTTCCTTTCCAGTGTGAATGCCCTTCCCTCCTTTCCTTCCTTCTTTTGCCTAATTACTCTGTCTAGATCTTCCAATACTATACTGAAAGGAAATGGTGAAAGAGAGTTTTCTTGTCTTGTTCCTGATCTTAGAGGAAAGTTTTCATTCTTTCTTCATTGTGTATGATGTTTGCTGTTGGTTTTTCATATATGGCTTTTATTATGTTGAGGTAATTACCTCCTATTCCTAGTTTGTTGAGTGTTTGTATCATGAATGGATGTTGAATTTTGTCAAATGCTTTTCCTGTGTCATCTGTGGTAATCATGTGGTTTTTGTCCTTCATTTTGTTAATGATTGATTTTCATATATTTTTATTCTGTTATTGATTGGTTTTCATATATTGAGTCATCCTTGCCTTCCAGGAATAATCTTAGTTGGTCATTATGTATAATCCTCTTCATATTCTGTTGAATTAGATTTGTTGCTATTTTGCTGAGGATTTTTCATCAATATTCACAAGGGATATTAGTTTGTAGTTTTCTTTTTTTGTAGTGTCCTTGTCTGTCCTTGGTGTCAGGGAAATGCTGGTCCCATAAAATAAGTTTGAAAGTGTTTTCTACCTTTTCAGCTTTGGGGAACAATTTGAGAAGGATTGGTATTAATCCTTCTTTAGATGCTTGATAGAATTTAGCAGTGAAGCCATTGGGTCCAGGAATTTCTTTTGTTGGGAGATTTTGACTACTGATTTATTCTCCTTATTATAGGCCTATTCAGATTTTCTATTTCTTTGTGATTTACAATTTAATTGGTTTTATGTCTACAGGAATTATAACATTTCATGCAGCTTATCTAATTTGTTGGCGTATAGTTGTTCACAATATTCTCTTATAATACTTATTTCCATAGAGTTGGTAGCAATGACACCATTTTCATTTTCGATTTTGGTAATTTGAGTATTCTCTCGCTCTCCTTTTTTTTTTTTATAGTCTAGCTAGCTAAAGATTTGTTGGTTTTACTTATTGTTTTCCTCTGAAATTTGCAAGCCCTCAAAGGACTATACAAATTTCTAAAATAGTTATTTTCAACAGATTTCTTTTAGTGCAATTATTGTCAAGGTGAGGAGACAGATTCCTAACACTCTCTACTCTACCATCTTCCCAGAATCCTCCCTACTGCCATTTGATACATAGCTTTTTTGTTATATATGTTATACACACACACACACATAATTTAATACAGAATGTACCACTCACTATGTATGCAATCTTGAAAAATTTTCTGACTCTCCATTCAGCTTTGTTTTTTCACTTGTAAAATAAGAAATACCTTTAAGTGAAGGCTTTAAATGGAAACTTCTACTACTTTAAATTGTATAAAAGTGACTGAAGAATTGTAAGATTCTCAATATTTTCAGGTTATATGATGGAAGAAATGAGAAAGCAAAAAAAAAGTAAACATTCAAATATGTATTAAACTATTGGAATAAACAGATTATGATTTCATGTTAATATTGATCTAGGTTAACATTTAAATATTTACCTATTGGTGTTTTCTTAGATTTAAAAAAGAAGGGAAAATCATTTCAAGTTATCAGTTGGTTTCTATCTGAAGATGATGTAAATGAATTAAGGAAACATTTTGAGTTCTTTGTCACAGAAGCTTTGCACGGCAGGTAATTTATTTTATTTTCTCAATGAAAGACCTACTATTTTAATGATACAAATGAATGGATGAATACATGAATGCTTGGAGTGACTTCAAGAGAAATAGATGGGTTGATGGGTGAATGGATGGAGGAAGGGATCAATGATGGGGATGGTGGGTGGATGGAATAGATGAGGCTTGCACTCCCAACCATCCGGTCTGTATACTGTCCCTCTTCCATGAAAAGCATGAATGGATTTCTGTATAGTGTGTGTGTTGGGGGGCTTTTTCTCCTGAATCTTCTTGGCAATACTGCACCTACAGTCTTTATGTATACTATCCCTAATGCAGAAGGAAGGATAGACAACTTAATTTCTCATTGCTGATAACAAAGCAGAGCCACTGTTTTATACTTATTTATTCCCCCTTCTCCTCATGTATCTCCATTTTCAAGAATGGAAAAACACTTATGAATATTGATTTTCCATACCTTGAAATGGTCATCTTTTAACCTTTTAAACTCATTTAAAAAACCCCTAATACCTTGATTGATGATACACAGTGTGAGATGGGCCTGAAAGGTTTTTTTTTTTGATTACCTGGAATGTACAGAAATTCTTCATTTTTGACATAAAAAAGAAAGACGTAAATTCATGCCTCACTTGGTTAATTGCAGTGGTTTAATGCCCTTCTTCTTTGCTTAAAAATTCTACTCACTGTCAAGGTTGTGCTCAAATTTGACTTTTTCCATAAATATTTCTTCCTCACCTAAACTAAAAGACCAAATTCTCTCCTCTATAAGAGATCTGATCTAAAGTACTCATTTGAAACTTTGTGTCATCTTGTGTTGTTAGGCCTGTATTTTAAAAGCATATGACTTGTTTCAGCTCTACAAGCTTGATTTCTGTGAAGACTGGTTCTACACACATGTTAAATACAATGCAATATACTGAGCACAGTGTCTTCCTGTAATCTTCTCCAGTTAATTAACTTAATTTGAAATGTGATTAATGTTCTACTTTTGAGGACTTTGTACTTCATACTTTGCATTTATCCACAATATTTGGCAATCATTCTTTGTGTAAAATCTTTAAAAATATATAATAGAGGATGATTTCAGCTAATCACCATCACTTGAAGTTGATTCTACAGAACAGGCAGAGATCTGCATCTTCCTAATGAGTCTTCAACCTGTGGGCCTTCTTTAAGTGGACTGACATGGTGTCACGTTGTACAGGTTGTGGGTTTACTGGGCCATTGATTCTCTCAGTCCTTCTTCAACTAGGAGGCCCATGGGTCTTCCAAACACCTGCACCTGTGACTTCTGGTCACAAGCATTTTTGTCTATTTTCCCATACACTACACAAAAAAGATTATTTTCCTTCCAAGCAATGACAGTAAACATTGAAGGAGAATATTTCCTGTTATAGTGCCATGAAGAAGAGTTTTAATTAGGTATCAGTAAAATGATAGCATTAACTTTTGTAAATACTCCAGTGAGCATGAAGTGGAAAAGCTGTTAATAGGTTTCAAACAGGCTTTTTTTTTTATTTTGGTTTTGAATTATTTAACTCCTATGCTAGGAGGCTATAAATCTCATGTTCAGTTTAGAGTTTGGATTCAGATACTATCATCAAGAAATTCTTTGTGTGAGGCAACCTGTCAAATGCAGGGTATAGAGAAATGTTGTTAAAAAGGCTGTAGCATCAATATCCATGGACTCTGTCAAGTTATTTCCACAGTTTGGCTGGGAAGCAAGACAGTCACTCATAAAAAGTCAGTGTATGGGTGAAAATTAAACAGAGCATCACAGAACATATCAAACAGACATAGAATCAGGAGATCTGCTACAGTCAGCCAAGGCTCCCAAAGCAGAAGGACCTTGAATTGGCGTTAGTGGTGGGTCACACTGGATTGGGCAGAGAGAGGGGAGAATAAGAACCGAGAACATTTTAGGGGGTAAAGTTACCTGGACCAGAGGGACTAGAACAGAGGACAGTTCTAGAACAGTGGTGAAATAGGCTGCTGCAAAGGGTCTTACTTCCCTGGGATATTCTCTTTGAGCTGAAGATTCTCCTAAGAATTGTGAAATTAACACCTCCAATGAGTATTTGTCATTAATTTTTTTTTCTGTACAGAGAAGCACTTGTAAACCTTGTAAGGATAATGGAACATTTGGGGACCCGATGCAGCTATTTGCTAAGAAGTGATATCATGGATTCCTTGAAGAATGAGAACTTTGACCTGATGGTTGTCGAAGCATTTGACTTCTGTTCATTCCTGATCGCTGAGAAGCTTGAGAAGCACTTTGTGTCTGTTCTTCCCACACCATTTGGCAGCGCAGACATTGGGCTTCCCAGCGCAGTGTCTCATGTGCCAGTACACTTTTCCTACCTAACCAGCCCCTTGGACTTCTGGGGCAGAGTGCAGAATTTTCTCTTGTCATTTCATTTCTCCATGAGACAGTGGCAGATGCACTCTGCCTTTGACAAGACCATCAAGGAGCATTTCCCGGAAGGCTCGAGGCCAGTTTTGTCTCATCTTCTAAAGAAAGCAGAGCTGTGGTTTGTGAACTCTGACTTTGCCTTTGAATATGCTCGGCCCCTGCTTCCCAACACTGTGTATATTGGAGGCTTATTGGCCAAACCTATTAAACCAGTGCCACAGGTAAGTCAAGCTTGAGCCCTGGATATGAATTTAATGCAGAGGTCCTCGGGGCACAGCTGGTGACTGCCTTGCCACTGGGATCCTGGGAGTGAAGTAGAGAGAGTGAGGCAAACAAAACACCTAGGATATATCATTTTCTTTTCTTGTATTTTACTTTTATTTTATTTCTCTATTGTGTATTTTATTTTATTGTGGTGAGAACACTTGATGTGAGACCTACTCCCTTGACAGGTCTCACATCAAGTGTTCTCATATTTAACAGTACAATACATTATTATTGCATACAAGTACCACACTGTGCAGCAGGTGTCTTAATCTTATTCATCCTTCTTCACTGAAATTCTTCCTCCATTGAATATTAGCTACCCATGTCTCCCCTTCCCCAGCCTCTGGAAACCAACTTCCATTTTTTTGTAGCCTAGGATATAATCTATCCTGAGGAATGTTTCATGTGCATTTGAAAAGAATGTGTATTATGCTGCTTTTGGATGGAATGCTCTATGTATATCTCTTAAGTCCACTTGGCCTAATGTGTCATTTAAAGTCAGTATTTCCTTATTAATTTTCTATATGGATGATCTGTTCATTGATGTGAGGTTAGTTCTCTACTATTATTGTGTTACTGTCAATTTCTCCCTTTATGGTAGTGAATATTTGCTTTATGTATTTAGGTGCTGCTGTGTTGGGTACATATATATTTATAATTGTTGTCTCTTCTTCTTGGATTGATCTCTTGATCATTATGTAATGTCCTCCTTTGTCTCTTGTTACAGTTTCTATTTTATTTTGTTTTATTTTGTAACATTTTTATTGAGTTATAGTCATTTTAGAATGTTGTGTCAAATTCCAGTGTAGAGCACAATTTTTCCGTTATACATGAATATACATATATTCATTGTCACATTTTTTTTTGCTGTGAGCTACCACAAGATCTTGTATATATGTCCCTATGCTATACAGTATAATCTTGTTTATCTATTCTGCATATGCCTGTCAGTATCTACAAATTTTGAAATCCCAGTCTGTCCCTTCCCACCACCTACCCCCTTGGCAACCACAAATTTGTATTCTATGTCTATGAGTCTGTTTCTCTGTTTCTGTTTTGTATTTTATGTTCTTTTTTTTTTTTTTTTTAGATTCCACATATGAGCAATCTCATATGGTATTTTTCTTTCTGTTCCTGGTTTACTTCACTTAGAGTGACATTCCAGGGACATCCATGTTGCTGCAAATGGCATTATGTTGTCATTTTTTATGGCTGAACAGTATTCCATTGTATAAATACACCACATCTTCTTTATCCAGTCATCTGCTGATATCTTGGCTATTGTAAATTGTGTAAAGTCTCTGTTTTAAAGTCTGTTTTGTCTGACATCAGAATTGCTATGCCAGCTTTCTCTTGATTTCGATTTACATGGAATATATTTTTCCATCCCCTCACTTTCAATCTATGTGATCTTTAGATCTGAAGTAAGTCTCCTATAGGCAGCTATCTATGGGTCTTGTTGTAGTAACCATTCAGCCACTCTCTCTCTCTTTTGTTTGGAGTATTTTGTCCATTTACATTGAAAGTAATTATTGATAAGTATGTGCTTATTGCTATTTTGTTAATTGTTTTAGGGTTGATTTTGTAGTTTTTTGTTCCTTTTTTTTCATCTTTTATTCTCTTCCCTTGTAATTTGATGACTATGTTTAGTGGTTATGTGTAGATTTCTTTCTCTTTTTTTGTGAATGTATCTATTATAGATTTTTGGTTTGTGATTTCCATGAGGTTTATGTATAGCAATCCATTTATACATGTGATTATTTTAAGTTGCTGGTCTCTTAATTTCAAATGCATTTTAACAACCCTACATTTTTACTCCTTTCCCTTACAATTACTTTTTTTTTTGACATTATGTTGTACATATTTTGTTTTTATATCTCCCTTAACTGCTTATTGTGGATATAGATGATGGTACTGGGATTATGTTTTCAGTGAAGAAAGAGATTCCCATAACTTCAACCTTCCTCTTCCATAAAACATTGTCATGGAAATATTTTGTTATGCAGTGTAAGCACCTCATGTGCAACGTGGACTGTTGTGGTGACCAGTTAATTAAAGCTCTCTTCACATTCATTTGTGAGGATTTAAAGTATTATATGGGAAGTTGTGTCCTAAGGCCTCAGAAAAATTATTTCAAGGCCATCCATCCAGAGGATCTGAGCATGGTGCAGAAAGCACTGAGCTGTCTTAGAGGCTACAAGAACAATTTCAAGACTGTGAGCTTAGGTGTTGACAGGAGAGGGTAGTTAGTGAACAGATGATTTTCATGAACATGATTTTCATGTTCATTTCATGAACAACAGTATTCACTTCCTTTCCTTTCTTACCTCTTTCCAGGAACTTGAGAATTTCATCACCAAGTTTGGAGACTCTGGTTTTGTCCTTGTGGCCCTAGGCTCCATGGTGAATGACTGTCAGCCCGATGAGGTTCTCAAGGAGATGAATGCTGCCTTTGCTCGTCTCCCTCAAGGGGTGATATGGAACTATAAGACTTCTCATTGGCCCAAAGATATCAAATTGGCAGCAAATGTAAAACTCATGGATTGGCTTCCTCAAAATGACCTTTTGGGTAAGAACTCCCCAGGTCTACTTCTCTCTTTCCATTTATATGTCTTTGGGGTTCATTATGGCTCTGACCTTTAGTTGGGCAATCCCATTAAGATGAGAAGGAGGGGGCAGGAATGGAGCAGCCAGCTGGAATTCTTGGGAAATCAGGCTATACTTCTAAAATAGCCCAAACAGCCATTTTCCCTTCTTTTTTATTCCAGTTCTGATCCTTGCAGCCAGAAGTGATATTATTTTCAGGTTCTTTTGACCCTACCTTATTTGACACTAAACAAGGTCACCCAAACCCAATCCAAGATAGTTTGTAAACTCTGAGAACACATACCAGGGGGCATGTTGTCACTGCTTTCCCTGGCTTCTTGAACACCTGTTCAGCCATCTGATATTGTACAGGTACACGTCCACACATATTGGTACACTCTCTTCAGCTACAACAGGTGTGAGCAACTCACATATTTACAAAGTTGTTGGTGGTGTCTAAATGGTGTGCTGTAATATCTGAGTGCCAAACTGGGTAACCTCACAGCCAGTTATTTGGTCCATCCAGTTCTCTGGTAACAGAGCGCTCATTGCACCCCAAGAGATTTTCTTTGTCCTTTTTCTCCTTTTTGGATACTCCTCAGTACAATAATCACTGTATTGGAGGCTCATAGCCAAGATTATGGTTCAAAGATGTATTGGGAATTTATGATAGAAAATTCTGCACATTTAATTCAACAGGACATGGGGTAGGGAAAGGAGTCCCATTTTCAAAGAAACCCAAGTGGATTCTGATTCACATCCCTGTTGCAAGGCAGAGTTTGGGATGGACTGTTCGTTATTAACACCTGTTTTAGTTTCCTCTAAATAAGGGTGTGGTCAGCATATAGGAACTGCAAATACTGAGGTGTATGGTACAGCATTCCCCACTTTAAATATTTCTCATAAAATTAAGGAGAAATCACATACAGTGTAAGTTTTATGAATGCCACATGAGTTGTGGTGTCAATGAGAGTATTAAGAATTTAGGTAAGTGGGAAACAAATGAGTAGTGGGGGAGAGAGGAAGAAACCGAGAGAGCTACAGAGATCAAGTGAGTGAGAGGCAGACAGACAGAGAGAAAGAAACATAGAAGTAGACTAATAGAGAGACAGTAGAGTAATAGAGAGACAGATAGTGTAATAAAGAGAGAGAACAGAGATATGGGAAGCAAAGGTAGACATGGTGGAGAGGGATGGATGGATGACTGGGCTAAAGGAGGACGATGCCTCACTTACGACTTTTCTCTGCAGCTTTCCCTAGATTTTGAGTCTTATAGATTGTGTTTGAGGTGAGGAGTCTCTGTACAGAGACAAGGGCAGAATCTTGTATCTTGATATATTCACCTTTGAGTGTGTCCTAAGCTAAATCAGTAAATTCATTTTCTTCAAAAATACCTTGAAAAAATTAATTTTTTTGCCCTTGCTGCTTCCCTCCTTGTGAAACTTTTCATCCTGAAATGTTCTGCTCTTTTTCTTATTTGCAACAGGTCATCCTCGCATCCGTCTTTTTGTCACCCATGGCGGGATGAATAGTGTCATGGAGGCCATCCAACATGGTGTGCCCATGGTGGGGATTCCTATCCTTGAAGACCAGC